ATAAGGTCCACTAACAGGGGGGCAGAAGCTTGTGATGAAGATTCATAAGTAACAACCGAAAGGATATACCTTCTAGAAGCATTTAAATCTCAATTATTTTCCTCCAATTTGGTGGTGAGTGTTCATTCCCATTATTTTCTATTAATTGGCTTCCATGGTTTTGATTCAAAGTAAACAACCAGGAAATTGATAATTGTCCTACATTTTGTCTGTTTTGTGAATGATGGTTGATGGAGAACGAATGCATCTTCTAGTAGGGTTGTCCTTTTCTTATTAATTACGTTTCTGTTTTGGCATGTAAAGAGATGCTCCACATCAACATAAAGACACAAAGATCAATTTGAAAAGTGTATTCTCATGCAACTCCAACTTCTCACTGTGTGGCCAATAAAAACACTCCAATGCTGGATCCTGATGTCATGGAATTTTACAGTCACTAACTCCACCTCTCCTGATCTTATAGTCTTTTATCTACAGATTCAATTTCAGACCCATTTTGTATTGATAAAATTTGTGTTATGTGAATAGTGGAAGTAATTATTTGATGTGATGTAATAAGATAATTTTTTTCAAAATTTTGTATAGATAATTACCAAATGTTTCTAGTAAAAATAGCAACCTAAAATATCTTACTTCTGCAGGGACATTTTTCTCCACAACCTTCTCCTGCTTTCCATTGCCCAAAAATTATATAAAACCCAGTTGATGTTGATTCTGTGATTGAAATTTGCATACATGTAAATTCAAAGCAAAAATCCTTAAACTCTTTGTTTTCCTTTTCCCTAAATACAGTTTTAATGAGCTGGACTTGGACTTAGATCTATAGTGTGAAGATTTAATTTTAAAGATATATAGGGCTGTCAGTGGTGCCTCATTACTTGAGTACTCTGACTTTAAATTGAATTTGGATCTAAAAAATATCAATTCATAATTGGATTAATCTTCTTCTTTGATGGGCACAATCAGATTATTTTGTATCTTAATTGGATCAACTAAGATCTGAGTCCAATAATTTTAGTATGTGCATCATCATCATCTAAGCATTGTTTGAATTATATGAGATGGCTATATGAATCTTGTTTCGTCATTCCATTTTACTCAGTGTCATATTAAATTATGAGCACACCCTTAAATAATTTCTTATTAAGTTGATTTAGTATAATATTTTTTATAGTTAAATATCATATTTTTATTAAAAAAAATCACAAATTCAAGTTTCATGGAAGTTAACTTTTTATTCATCTTTATATTGTTTTATTCTTTTTTAGGAGATATCCTCTACATGACTGCCATCTTTCTATGAGAGTGAGACATTTGGTATTTTAGCTTGACTTTGTCTAAGATGATGACATTTACACTTTTACAGAAAGTGTCCAGAATCGGACAAGAAAATTTCAAACACATTATTTTTACCGTTGGAGCAGCCCTCCGAGCAACGAAAGGTTTTTCTTTTCCTTAGTCAAAATATCTCCCCACCCCACTCCACCCACCTCATTTGCATCGAGCACCCCAAATAGGCACCTATGTACAATGATATTAGTAGGAATTTGTCCTATTTTGCCTTTTTATGGTGTTCATTTTTTTGGTTAGTGGAAGGAGGGGGTGTTAAGTTGGTTAATAGGAAAGTTGATAAATTTTTTCGTATTTTTCGATAATTATTTGTCCCATAATAAGTTGATTTTTTCATAATTATCAGTTACCTCATGGTAAATAACTTTTCCACAATGATGTAAATCAGGTTGGCCTAAGTTAATAGTTTACACTGTTTCGGGTTGGATTCATTGAAATTTTGATAAAATCCCAATCCTAATTCACAAAAGTTTCATCCCTACTTTTCTATATAGAAGAATTATTCTTATCTGAAAAAATTGTTAAGACATTATTGGATAAAATTGCCCCTTCTATTAGTAAAATTTATGAGTAAAAATAGTCAATTATTTAACTTATGTGGATAAAATTTATGATCAGAAGAGCACGGGAAACACTAACCCATGTAAATGGTTTACTGACAAACAAACATGGCCTTATATATGAAAGCTACTGTATTTATAATGCATGTATATACATGGGATTGAGAAGAGATAAATGGTGCTAGTGATGTTGGGATTTGTGGATTGAAGATCGGATTGAATTGAGATAGGGGTATATTTGAATCTGATCTGGAAAAGAATTCAAGAAGATTCAAATTTGATTTGATATGTGATGGAAACTAATATGAATAAAATTAGCATAAAAATACTAAGTATAAAATATATTGTAATTAAATAGAGAAAACTTATATAAACCCCAAATTTCATTTAATTCTAAGAAACTTTCAATTAATATTAAAAAAAAAGATATTTTTAGATGTGTATATAATGGGAAAATCTATGATAAAAGAAAAACATGGTATCGTAAGAGCTTTGACCAATCAAAGCACCCCATGAATTTTGATGAATGCCACATGATTAATCACCCCTTTTATGATATATACCGGTTGATTGGCTGTAAATTTTTCTGATATCATGTATATTTTCGATATCATAGTCGAACCCGCATATATAATTAGATTATATCAGATCCTAATGAACTGAATCAAGCAACGTCCCAATTTGATCCAATTAATAAGTAAAACATATTTTTTAAGTCCAATTATTGTTAAATGAATTTCTGAATCTGACTTAAAACAGATCAGACGATTGATGCCCAAGACTGGTGTCTGAAGTCAATATAATAATGTAATAAAAGCATATTTCTTCGTGAAAGGATGGAGATGTGGTCGCTGTCAATACTAATCTCCATGGCCGACGTCTCCATTCTCCGACCAAGAAACAGATGGCCTTAGCCATCAACTAGCGGCTATGCTGAAAGTCTCTGTTCCATGCTTCTACTTACATGCAAAGAATAGGTCATTGTCTATGATTAAATTTATTCCCCATTAACAAATTTAAATGAGAGAGAGAGTCAGATCAAAACCTTATCCAGAATATATAAGAAATGCCCTTAATAATCTATTGTGTATTTAATTGAACTTGGACACATCGAGAATACACGTAATTCATTTAGAAGAATTCATGCAACACTACTCAATATATAAGTATTTAAGTAAATAATTGATCTGAAATATTATCAAAAGCTAATTATTGGAACTTGTCTGAAGAGTGATTTCTTATTTGTTTATTAGACCTGTTCATGGCCGGGCCAATTTAGACTTTCACTGGTTATCAATGCAATATATTGAGACCTGAATCCGAGCCTAACCCGACCATTGGACTTATATCTTAAGCCCAAGCCTAAAGCCCGACATTGCAGTTGCAGATTTGAGTTCACTATAGGGTTGGTGAACTAGAAAGAGAGAGACCTGATCCCACTGCATTATAGATGTCTTCGACCGGAGTATTTGGAGCAGAGCAGAGCAGAGCTCGAAGAAATGAGGATTGGTTGCTGGCTTGCTGCTACGTGGATGGAGCTTGTAGAGATGTCATCGCCCTTCCGGTCACCGGATCGCTGCTTGAGTGTAGATTGTAGAAGAACTACCATCGTAGGCGCTCGCTGTGAAGGGGATTAGTTCGTTTGAAGTTCAAACAAAATGGAACGAGTTTGAATGAAAATTTGGACTAGGGTTAGAAATATTATATTTTTAATAATATTTTTTATTATAATAAAATATTGTCGGGCTGGGTCAGGCTTTTTTATAAAATTCTGAGCCCAGCTCGAAATCAAATCGGGCTTAGATAATAGGGCCCAAACCCGGGCCCACAGGCCTAATAATATGTCCAAGTCTGACCGTGACCGGGCCGGGCCATTGGGCTACCTGGCCCATGATGGAAACCTCACTCAAGTATCTTCCATCATCTCTAACAACCTTTACAGGTGTCGTTGGAACTGCAATGGTTTTTAAATCAGAGGACAGTCTAACTAAGAATACATAAAGCAAGCTTTCTTTTAAGTTCACCAAATTACCAACCTTTAATCTTTAAGTGCGTATTTGGAAGGGTTTTTATGCAGTGGCTTCTCGCGTTGGAAGGTACTAAAATGAAAAGCCATGAACCTACAAATATGTTTACATGAGCCATAAAATTGACTCTTCTGAAGCGGCTATTTCAATGCAGCTCAATCAACGTTGAAGTCCTTTTTGGTTTTGCATGCATGATAGACCCCATTTGGATAGTATATAAGCAATGTTCGGTGAAAGATCTTACGAGTTCAAATCTGCTGTCCTTTCAGCCGAAAAAAGGGCTTTCCATTAAAGCTTCTTTTAATGGCTTCTCCAAACTAGCTCAACCAAAGCATCAACCCTCTCAAATGAGTTATATCTAGGAATTCACAAGAGGAAATTTTCAAATTTTAGCAGGAAATCAATGGGGATATATTAAAAGAGAAATGAGATTTAACTTGGAAGCTGACAGTCGAAAGTGAGAAACAGGATTGCAACTCAGGGACATACTGGGAGGAAAAAACTAAAAAAAGAAAATGGATTTAAAGAATTAAAGATTATTTTAGATCCGAGAACATTGTTTTAGCACACTCATCTCCTATAAATCTAAAGTTGTGAACAGGGTCGGCTTCAAGAACAGCTTGGACGATCTATGAATAAGGGAGACTAAGGTCATGTTTGGTTCAATTCTCATTCTTTCTCGTTTTTACCTAATATGAAATTTTAAAATGGGTAAAAATAGGCAAAATGAGATTTCTATGAATCAAACGTTTTTTTCCTAAAAATTTTTTCTTTTCAAATTGACAATTGCCCCATGTAAAAGTACTTTTTGCAAGTGTTCTCTTGTAAAAGTACTTTTGAAAAAACACTTTCACAAAAATACTTTGATAAAAGTACTTTCATAAAAATGCTTTTGTAAAAGTACTTCAATAAAAATGCTTTCATAAAAGTATTTTTATAAAAGTGTTTTTGTAAAAGTGCTTCATAAAAAAATAATTTTATAAAAATGCTTTTATTAAAGTGCTTTCGTGTAAAAATACTTTTATAAAAGTGCCTTTATTAAAGTGCTTTCTTGTAAAATTACTTTTATAAAAGTGCTTTTGTAAAAGTACTTTCACATAGTCTGCTAGTAAACATCGGTTTTGTAGTTAGAGTTTTCTCAAAGAATGAAAATGAGTAAAATGGGGCATGATGACTATCTCAATTTTTGTACTATAAACTGATTTTTCATTCTAAAATGAATGTGACCCATGACAGGAATTTTGTAACTAAACACTATAATGTTAATTGAACCAAACATGGCCTACAAAGGATTAAATCTGTAAAGAAAAAAACAAACAAATGTTAATATGAAATACCTTACAAGAATAAAGCAAAAGGAATAGTAGATTGTCTCAGGGTTGATGACAGTCTTACCGACATCCGGCATCGACGAGCGGGAGAATAGGTAGGTCGACGGCGGGAAGAAATTTTTACCGATGGTTTCGAACAAGGGAGACTTGTGGGAAGAAGGCGATGGATCTGCAAAAATAAAATAAAATAAAAAATGTCAATACCAGAAGAAAAAGGGAAATAGTAGAGGTTATTAGTTAGCCGATGGCGGGAAGAAATTTCTACCAATGGTTTCGAACAGGGGAGACTTGTGGGAGGAAGGCAATGGATCTAGAAAAAAAAAAATTTAAAATGTCAATACCAGAAGAAAAAAGGGAAATGGTAGAGGTTATTGACTGGCCGATGACAGTCTTATCAGCGTCAAAGGGTAGTTCTCTTTGGACCAGATGGCGATAATTCTCCTCAGACCAAATGACGCCCGATTCCCTTCTTGCGCATTAGGGTAAAAAGGCATACAGTTCACTGAGGGTTTACTGCTCCACGAAGTACCGGATCGAACACCACGCGCTGACACATCAGCATCCATGTAGATGCCACATCGGACATGCGTTTTGTGAAATGCCAGCCTATTAGGGGAAGCATGAATTTGCTGCTCCCCCCAACGGTTCAGTGCACGAAAATCCAGGCATTTACGTTTTTGGCGTTTTTTCAATAAACGGATGAACCAAACAGTGGTTTCATGCTCAATAAACGCCCATGCCTAGCTAGTACAAACGTGGCAGTGTTTTTTCAATAAACTCCCACACTACCAAATACATACAAATTATTGGCATTCCAACTTAACTTTAGGCGATGTTTGGCATCAATGCTGTTTTTTGAGAAAACGGCACCACAGCAGATTAGAGAAAACGGTACTTCAAACAACACCATTTTGTTTGGTACCGTTTTTTCAGAAGAAATGTTGCTCCATACTATACTTTGGAAATCAGGAAAGTGTGGTCTAGAGCAACACCAAATTCAATGTTTTCTGGAAAATGGTGTATTGCTATCAACGATGCAATGACATGGTATCAATGTGGCATCATCTTGGACATTAGATAATATAGATCAATATTGAAAACATTGCTACTAGCACTGGTATCAAACAAAACCAGTACTGTTTTCTCAAAAAACGCCTATATGGCAGCATCGGTTCCAAACGAGAAAATGGTGTTTACAACTCCACATGCCCAGCACCGATGCTAAACAAGCAAACACCTACTTAATGAAACATTTTTTGTTGATCATAAAAACAACACATAAGAATTAAAAGAGCATAAATTTAAAAGCAATTCTAGACTTACAGAATTGTCAAACCTCTTTTTCAATCTGATTCCCATATGTAAAAAACCCAATTTATCATCTCTAGCATTCCTCTAGGCTTGGTTTTGGGAAGAGTATAAATACAAATACGTATAGTGTGAAACCTTGTATTTGATCCCTTCCCAAATTGAGCCCTAGGTGTAGATCGACATTGACCCATACAGTTGATCCATTCAAATAGGGGTGTCAACGGTATTCGAAAATCCGATTTCGAATTCGAGATTCGATATAACCGAATTGAATTTGGATAATTCAAATATCTAATCGGTCGAATTCAGATATGACCTGATTCGATTCGATAAATATCTGAATTCGACCAATTATTTAATTCTTATATATAATATAAAAAAATTTAAATGCTTTATATAATTTATATATGATAATTAAATTATATAAATAGTTTATATATTTATATACTTTATATAAATAAAATATTTATTAATTACCTAAAATAATTAATTAGTCGAATTCAAATCAAATCGAATATTCGAATATTTAATCAAATTTAAATTCAAATATTAATTTTCAATATCCGTCAAATATCGAATCGAATTTTTTAATCAAATTTAAATTCAAATATTGCCTAATCCAATTCAAATTCGATCCATTTACACCCCTACATTTAAACTGGAAAGTCCGTCTAATTCAGGTGGTTGAACTCTTAACTCATCTAATCCGTGGGTTCACCCTAAATAACATGAATATTTAAAATTGAAGTCTAGGTTTTGCTGATCCAAACTAACCCAATTGTTAGGTTTATTAGGCAAAGTGTAGCTTTCATAAGGATAAAAGGGCATGCCCTAATTAAAGCGCATGTCTTAAAAGACAATTCCTCCATAGATATGATGTTAATATCACTATAAACAAAGGTATCATGTTTTGTCTTTCTTACAAGGAATGCCGTTCATACAAAATGAAATGTGCTAAAATCAGCACTCCTCTTATTTAACGTCAGACTCTCTGTATACGATCTATCCTGTCAGCCTCCAAAATAGAAAGATGAAAGATCGAGTTCAATTCAAATGAGTGATTTTGCTCTCAATTCCCTAAAGTTTTATTCCATTTGGTGGTGTCAAGTCATTGATCTGAGTTCAGCTGGAAAGTTGAATCAAGTAGACAGCTATCTTTTAGAACAGAAAATGGGTCTTTTTTCAATTACAGACATCCACCCACTTCTTCTCTCCCCTGCATTTATTTTGTAACGAAGAACCCCCTGAACTATTGGATTTTAACACTATGCCCTTATTTTTAAGTATTAACATTATGTCAGCTAGTTTCATGGAATGTTCTTTTAAACATTCTTATAACTCCAATTTAACTTCATTTTCTGAAACCATTTTGCCATTTTACTTGTTTTTCTTTACATTTTAATTCTCATATTTTTCTCAACTTTCTTTCAACAAAGTTCATCTGGCTGAGAATGCCTTGACAACAATCTGTTCATCAATCTCTTGAGTACTTTATCCTTTCCAATGTTTCTTTTTCATCATTTTGATACTTGTTGTTGTCAGTCCGTAGAATCTAGAATGGGTAATTTAGTAAATTTACTTTAACCATCAACCGTGTTTGCAAGTCAGGGGGCAAAATGCTAGAATCTAGAAGTTCAGGGAGACTTACATGTATATTTGTGTATGTATACGTATCTATGTATATACACTGCTTGAAACACACAATACAATTTTTTTTTTTGTATTATTCATGTTTTTTTTTGGCTGGTGTTCTAAGATCATACCAACTATCAAAAAGCAATCATCATACTGAATATGATTTAACCATGATTTTTAAAACCGGACCGGACTGGACAGTCGGACCGGGAACTGGTCAGATGACTAGTTTCAGTTTTTCTCAAAATTAGAAATTTGCTCAAAACCGTTGATTTTGGTCAACAAATTATTGTTCCGGGTGATTAATCGTTCAAACAATTTTAACTATTTTTTATTTTTTTTATTTTTGTTATCAGAATTATTCGATTCGAATGATCGAACCATTCAACCCGACAACCAAACCCCTGACCGGTTCAGTCTTTGGGTCATTTTTAAAAACCATGGATTTAACAAATGAATAAAATAGGGGTTAGGATATGGAGCAGTTAGATGATTTGTGAGTATGATATTATGTAATATAATGGCATATATTTCTTGTTCTCTGTAGTACTCCTAGGTGAGAGATTCCTCTTTGGACAAAGTAGGGTCACTCTACTACATTCATGAAATTAGATATATGATGATAGATGAATACAGCCTTTCCAATCGGGCTGAGGAAATCTCCTCTATGCCCCCCTATGCTTCCAGAAAGGACCACTGGTATTTTTGACCAGTGTGATTTATGGGTCTAGAAAGTCATCTAGAAGGTTATAAAGACAGGAATGTGCTGCAATATTCTAATAGTGATTCCCTGGAAAAGGGCACCATGATCTGGGAACAATATCAAGAAGCATAGGCTCTTGCTTTTGGTTCAGGTCTTCTTTTTGCTAAAGAAACCCACAAATATGGTTAGATTTTTTATAGATCGATTAATTAATTTATCTTAAATATCCAATCAAAATTTAACCCACTTTTCCTATTTGACTATTTCGTTTTTTTATCCAACTCTAGTCTTAGCTGAACAAAGTATTCATTTTTTTTTTCTCTCTCTCATATGATTCCTCATGACTCATGTCTGCATGTGCTCTGTCTGATATTGGTCCTCTGTGCCCTCCTTATTTTTAAAACATTATTATCATGTCATAGTAGGAGGAAAAGAAAGGGAAAGTATGTGGACTTCAATTTTTATCAAGAAATAGAGGACCCACACCATAAATTGATGTTGGACCTTTCATAACCAGAAGACACCCTCCCTGTACTGTCTTTTTATGGCCAAAGACACTTTTCAGTACTCCACTTGGTAGTTCTTCTAGAAGCTATTGCCAAACAAGTCCTATCCATACTTTCTAGAGAGATAAATAGATGTTTGAACCCTGTTTCTTAACAATCCTAAGGTATGATAATTGAGGTGTTGGTTTAGTATGGGAAAAATTTTCTGTATTCAATCCTCTTCCAATACCCCGAGTTTGTCCAGTAACCTTTTGTCAAATGTCAGAAACAATAGGCTTAACCTTTAAATATATGAAAGCTAAGAAAATAACTTTAATAAAATATTTATGAGTGTTATTCTAGACTCCATTTGAAATATTGCAGAAATATTTTTGCTCCTTTCACTTTAAAATAAAATAAAGCTCTCCTCCTGCATAAAGCAGACATGGTGCTTTATTTGAGATTTTCAATAGCTATACCCAAATTCAAATTGGTTTTGTTTTAGCTCTTCAATCACTTTAAAGCTTGCTGAAGTACATAAATTTGTGTCTATGCAAAATGGGAGAAAAAGTTTGTCTTTACCTGCTGTTGATTTTAATTTTTAATAAAAGATGGGATATAAAGAAATGGGTGTGAGAGTAAGCTCCATCATTTATTAATAATTAAAAATTTAAGATTTAGACTTTCAAGTTAATTGGTGAAGGTTTAAAATATCGATACACCTGATACGTATGAATATGCTCATTAGGTGTTTCGATACTATAAACATTTTTATTTTTACTTTTGGCTTTGCTATTTCATATGAGCGTTGATTTTAAGGATAATTAACACTAAAAAAATTCATTCAGCCACTAATATGATACGATAAATCTGATATAATACGGGATATATCATATGGATACTTTAAACCTAAAAACCAAGCATTCACGATTAAATCTTGTTAGCTCTGAAAAGACAAAATTCTTGCTTTGTGTAAACATTAAGGAACCAAGCTGTGGGTGGAGCAGAGAACATGGCCTACAATAATTCATGGTATCAAGGGACCATTCCACTACCTGATTGGGCCCACTTACGAGGAATGAAGATAAACAAATGGAATCTTTCATGGCTAAGACTTGTTGATAGGCTGGGTAGCCCGACAGTCTGGCCCGGCCTGTTATTTCTTGGGCTTTGACAATATTTCAGGCCCGCAGGTTTGGATTCGGGTTTTAAATATCAGACCTGGTTATTTTTGGGCTAAGTTCGGGCTTTCTTAAATAAGTCCGAACCTGGCCTGATATTATTATATATAATAAAAAACAT